ATGTCTTTCAGCAATCTTTAAAAAACCTTTTAAAGTGTACAAGTCTTTACTTTTCTTTATAAGTATCCCTAGATATTTATTTGTTAATTCTGTTAATTGACTTGCTCTTTTAATTTCCTTTTTAGATTGTACTTTGGTGGAGTATGGAAACAGGAGTGGGCATGTAGTTCAGTGGTTGAGTGCTTGCCTAGCATGTATGAGGTTCTGTGTTCAATCCCCAGTACTGCCATAAATAAGTTAATAGTAGTGCCAGGGTATAGAAACACTGCTGATTATTATGCAGTGATCTTCGTATTCTGCAGCTTTACTGAATTTACTTATTAGGTCTTGTAACTTTATTGTAGATTCTTGGGATTTTCTCTGCCTAGTAATGTTATCTATGAACAGAAATAGTGTTTACCTTCTTTCTACTTAGGATGCCTTTTATTTCTTTTTCTTACCCAATTGTGCTGGTTAGAACTTTCAGGACTGTGTAGAATAGAAGTAGAGAAAGTGTATATCTTTCTGTTATTCTTGATCTCAGAGGAAAAGCTTTCTATTTTACCCTTGAGTGTAACGATAGCTTCCATTTTCATGATTAGAAAGATACTGTGTGATTTTGGTCTCAAAAATATACTGAGATTTGTGACCTAAAATGTAATATATCCTGGAGAATGTTTCCTGTGAACTTGGCAAGAATGTTTATTCTTCCATTTGTTGGGTAGAGTACCACACTTTGCTTTGTTAGCTCTAGTTGGTTTATGTGGTGTTCAAGCCTGGTCTTTATTTATTGCAGTTCTATGTATAAGATTCTTGAAAAATTATTAAAAATCATGTATTGAAGTTTCCAATTATTATTGTAAAATTATCTGTTTTTACCCTCAGTTACTGTCTGTTCCTCCCTTCTGTCAGTGTTAACTTAGTGAATTCTGATGCTTTTTTTTAAACAGGTTTTTTTGGTTTGTTTTTGGTTTGGTGCTGGGAATTGAACCCAGGGGCACTTTATCACTGAGTTATATCCCCAGCCCTTTAGTTTAATTTATTTTTAAATTTTGAGACAGCATCTTGCTAAATTGCTGAGGCTGGCCTTGAATTTGGCAATCCTCTTGCCTTAGTCTCTTGAGTAGCCACCACTCCCGCTCTCTTGAAGCTTTGATAGTGCATATGTTTATAATTGTTACATCTTAGTAAATTGACCCTTTTATTGGTGTATACAATCATCCCTTGGTATTTATACAAGTTTCTTATATAAAATTGTATGGTATTTGCATGGAACCTATTCACTCATTCTTCAAATCATCTATAGATTAATTGTAATACCTAATACAATATAAATGGTATGTACAGAGATGTTATTACAGAATTTAGGGATAACAAGGAAAAATTCTAAACATATCCAGTATGACTTGATCTGTGGTTGGTTGAATCTGGTATGGAGCGTTGACATATTTTTCTTTGTCTATTGTATGAGTTTTTAAAATAAAGGCTCTTTTTGCCTGATATTAGTTTAACAACTCCATCTGTTGTTTACTTACTATTTGTGTGGAATATCTTTCTGTCTTTTCAGTTTTGATCTATTTGTGCCTGTGGATGTAAAGTAAATCTCTTGTAAACATATAAACATATAATTAGATAATTTTTTCCCTGTTTACCAATTTCTACCCCCCCTTTTTTTTAGTTGTTGATAGCCCTTTATTTAATTTATTTATATATATATGGTGCTGAGGATCGAACTCAGTGCCTCATACATGCTAGGCAAGTGCCCTACCACTGATCAAAATCCCAGTCCCCAAATCTCTACTTTTTTTTTTTTTTTTAACTGTTTGGTCATTTAAAAAAAAAATTCTAATTTTTCATATATCTGGTTGTATGCAAAGTAGAGTCACACCATTCATGTTTTCATACATGTACTTAGGGTAATGATGTCCATCTCATTCCACTGTCTTTTCTACCCTCATGGCCTGTCCCTTCCTCTCCTTTTCCTTTGCTCCATCTAGAGTCCATCTAATCCTCCCATGCTCCTCCCCAACCCATTATGAATCAGCATTGTTACATCAGAGAAAACATTCAGCATTTGATTTTTTATAATCTCTACCTTTTGATTGGAGTATTAGTGACAAGGAATGATTTATTTCTACCATTTCAAAATTTGTTTTTTTTGTGTGTCATATACCTTTTTTTGTAATTCATTTCCTCCATTATTTTGTGTGTAGTTGATTGTAGTGGATTGTTTTGATTGCCTTCTCCTTTTCTTCCACCTATTAATTTAGGGATTTCCTTTGTGGTTATCTTGGAGGAGTATTGTATTTGTGTATGTATCTTTAAAATCATGTAGAAAATAAAGAGTGGACTTATAATCCAAAAATATGATAGTGCTAAATTTTGTATATGCCCAAATATTTACTAATGATGATTCATGTGTCTTTCATTTTAATTAAAAAAAAATGATCTCCTTTACCAGTTCTCATTAGTAGTCTAGTAGTATCAGCCCTTCTTATTTTTCACTTGGGTATGTCTTTATTTCTCCTGCAGTTTGCCTTGTTTGAAAGCGTTTTTTCCTTCCAGCATTTTAAATCTGGCATCCCCTTGCCTTTGGCCTTCTGTGGCTTCTTTTGTAAAATTGTGGTTCTCTTGAGGATTCCTTGTGCTGAGTCACTTCTTTCTTCTGTAAAGATTCTCTTTCAACAGTTTGATCTTTCTGACCCTTTCTCTTCTCCTTTTGGAACTCTCATAATGTTCATGCTGGTCTGCCTGATCTTGTCCCATGGGCCCCATGGGTTGGTTGATTTGTTTCTTTTTTTCTGCTCAGTCTCTATAATTTCAGTTTTGACCTTGTTACTCTAGTTTTTGGTGAATTTTTACTTTCTACCAGGACAGGCCTTTTTATCAGGGTTTACGGTTGGAATAGGGGGTTGGCGGTGGTAATGTATCTTATTATTGGAGTTGAAGATCATACTTCATACTTGGCCTGCTTTAACTTCACCATGGCTAGGGCCCTGGGATGAAGCACCTCATTGCAACCAGGACAGGATGGAAATCTAGGCTCTCTACTTGGCCTTTTATTGTGTGGGTAGGACTAAAGTCTGTGGTGTTTGGCTAGAGTAGAGGGGCAATTGTCCATGTTTTCCATTTCTCTAGGCTGTCATTCCAATTATATTTTTTCTATAGGTGTGTTATTTCTTTTACTGGTTTCAAAACGTTCTCTTTGTCTTTGGTTTTCGGCAGTTTATGATATATCTTGGTGTTCTTTGTGTTTATCACTTCTAGTTTGCTTGGCTTCTTCTATCTGTGTATTTATGTCTTTTGCCTAGTTTGAGATATTTTCTTTTGTAGATTTTTCTAGTCCTGTCCTCTTTTTCCTGCCCCTTCAGTTTCTTCCTCCTGTTTTCCTCTCCCCCCCTCCTCCCCTACCCAGTTTTTTCCCCTCTATTGTTCACATGGGATTATTTCTTTTATTCTGTTTTCCAGTTCACTGTTTATTAACTGTTCTTCTTTATATTCTCTATTTGCTGACATTTTCTGTTATTTTACTTGTTTTCAAGTGTGTGTGTTTTGGTTATTGATAGATTTTATGACGACTGCTTTAAAATCTTTCTAAAATCAGTGTACTCTTGGTGTTGGTGTCTATTGTATTTTTAAATTTACATTGTGGTTTTCTAGTTTTAGATATAAGTGAGTTTTGATTAAAACTTGGAACATTTTGGGTTTTCTTTTGGGGGGCTCTGTATCTTTATTTAAACCTTTTGTTGACAAAGTTCCAGCAAGAGAAGAAAGGCTACTACTTATTTTTTGCCAGAGGTAAAGTCAAACCTCTCTGCTTGATTTTGTTAATACCCATGGACGATTGGGTAGCTTCTTATTATTTTTAAGTGGGTGTGGGAGTTCTGGCTTCCAATGATTACCAAATTATTCTAGTAGATACAGAAAAATTCTATACTATCTTCCTCTTCATCATCATCATCATCATCATCATCATCATCATCATCATCATCATTTTGGTGCTGGAAATTGATCCCTGGGCCTTATGCATGCTAAGTATATGGTCTACTACCTAACTATAACCCCTATCTTCATCATTAATTAAAATAAAAATTTTTTAAAAATAGAATTCCATCTTTTATTCTTTAGAATATTGTTTGCATATATTTTATCATCATATGTTATATGTTCATAATTCATATATAAATAGGAGTCTGCATACATTTTTACTTATAAAGGAACTCAATTTGACAGGTTGGGAGACCACTCCATGAGAAGCACCAGTGAATTTTCTTTTCCTACAGCCTGGAAACTAAAATTACATGATAATCTTTTCTTATTTTCCATCTTTGACCTTTGTCTCTAGCATTTAATTTGGCTGCCTTTGTTGTTTATTTATGTTTTCATTGTTCAGTTGGTTTCTGGAATATTCTGATATATTTAATTAGTAATGTAGAACCTGGAAATGGAAACTGTACAAGACTTATGACTTGCTTTTAATAGTTTCCCTCTTCTACCATAGTGTTTTAGCTTTCATGGAAAGCAGGGAACCTGCATTCTTCTTTATTTTCTGTAAGAATAAGGATTTAAATTTGCATTATGTATTAGAAGTTGTCATATGTGTTTTAAAGAGGTTTTCCCAAACAACCCATTTTGCAAATGATGAAAATTGTAATCTCCAGGTTACTTACTTTGGAAAACTGAAATTTCATTATAAGTTAGCATGTTTTAAAAAGATCTTGGAATACACTTAAGCCATTTAAGAGAAATATTTCTCAATTGGAGGTGTCAAATTCAAGTGTTTATATTTAATTTCTTACTCCATTATTATATTCTTATTATCAGTTTTTCTAGGAATTAAATTATTTGATAATTCTTGTAAGTTGGATAGCCACTTTGGGGATAAGACCGATACACATTTTTTAGAGTTGGAATGAGATTATAAGTCACAATTGAGAAGAAACTTTTATAAATTGCTCATTTACCATCTAGTCTAGCAGTCTTTATATGTATTTGTAAAGCCTTTTAAAATCTTTTTGTAGGTAGGTAGCCATCCAAGCTTCCTGAAGGAGGTTCGTGATCACATGCAGGATTCTTTCTTAATGCAGCCTGAGGTAAGCAGATGGGGGTTTAAGGCTCACATTAAGCATATTTTTAAGCACTGCTAATATCTTTAATATGTATGAAAAAAATCATGTGCCATTTGAAGTATATTAAAATTTATGAACTTGAGCTGTATCAAATAATGAATGTTTCTGTTATCTGCAAGACATAGATTACTTTGATTGTTCACATTGAAGCCAAGCAAACATGGCATGAAAGTTTATATCCTTTTGTGCCAGTGTTCTCTCATTAAGGATCCTTTTGTCTTTGGAACAGTGGTAACTAGTGACAAATGTTGGAAAAAAAGTGACAGGAGTTGAAATCTTAATACTAACAATTTTATCTTTCTGAGTTTATCCATTTTATGTGTTATTCTGAAGAGAATAAGAAAGTACTGTTTTGTCAACATGGAACAGTTGCTTAGTTCCTTGTATATTTGATGTGTTAAAGCTATTATTAATAATTCTGCTAATAAAATCAGTGTCAGGATCACAAATCCAGTGATGACTGTCTACTTTGCTTAAAAAAAAAAGTCATCAAAGCTAAGATTTGATAGTTGGGCTTCATTTGATTTGGTTAAAGGATTCTTCATGGGTGCTGATATGTGAAAGCCTCACATGCATATCTGTCTAGGGGGAGCTGGTTTAGTTTTCTCAATACAATCTTTAACATTTTTAAGTGTCCTGTTTTTTTAATTTTTAGTATTTTTAATTTGTACAGTGGTTTCAGGTTTAAATAAATTTCTTCCATCATTGTATCCATATGTTTTCTTTTGTTCTTTGCCTAACATAAATATTTAAGTCATCAAATAGACTTCAGGAAGTAAACCAAAGCATTTTTCTCTAATGTCCTTGTATTGTTGATAGAATATTTGATATCTTTGTAGCCATTTTTTTTTAACACTAGATTATTTTAAAAAGAAAAAAAACCATTTATTTATTTTTTTGTGGTTGAACCTAGTGCCTCACATGTTAGGCAAGTGCTCTGCCACTGAGCTACAACCCCAGTCTATATAGCCATTCTTATTTGTTCTTTGTTACTATTTCTTTGCTGTTAATAAGTTTCTTTTTGAGGCTTAGAGATTGAAGAATGAGTTAATTTCCATTTTGGAAAGTAAAACTTAGGTCTTCTCCAGGTGATATTTAAGTGTATAAGGACATTACTGCCATGTAAGCAACTATCTTCTCATACGTGTTCTATTTATGCATGCTAAGAAAATTATTCTTCTCTTTATATTGATGGAAGTTGCTTGTGGGGGCTTTTTGTTTGTTTGTTTTTGGTGGCTTCTGGGGGCCTAAATCCACAACCTCATGCTTGGTAAGCATTCTATCACTGAGCTATACCTCCAGCCCTAATTTTTTGTCCCCACTTGGAATTCATTATCTTTGTTTTCTGAAATACCATAGTATTTGTGAAAATTTTCTTGAAGTTAATTAATTTTATGTGTTATATCTGGCCTGATTTTTCTGTTGGTGTGGCATCTTATTCATCAGTGCATGGAACATTTCGAGACCTTTTTGTATCCTCATACAATACATTCTTTTTAAAAAATATTTTTCAGTTGTCAATAGATTTTTTTACTTTTATTTGTTTATTTATATGTGGTGCTGAGGATTGAACCCAGGGCCTCACACATGCCAGGCAAGCACTCTACCACTGAGCCAGCCCCCACCCCCCCTAGACATTTCTTGATTTAAAAAAAATGGAGTTAAATAATCTCAACATTAGGTGGGGGAGATAGATGTCTTTATCACAGTTTGTGATATGTCACTTGATTATGACAGACTTCTCTGTGAACGCTCAGAAAGGGGATCAGTACAAGTTGCATGCAACCCATTAAGTGCCAAATTCTCAATTTTGCAAATATTTCAATGAAATTGATGCAGTGTCATAAAATTGGTTGGAATCATAATTTAGAACTTATATATCCTTTATGATAATTAAGAACAAAATATGGATAGTCCTTTAGTTAGGGACAGAGAGATAATACAATGTCTTCTATAGATAGAAGCCAACCTATAAAATAGGACATTGGGCAAATGTGCCATCCTTTTCTACATCACACAAGATACAAATAAGTGACTTTTATGACCTGTTTAGCAATTATTTTTGGTGGAAAGGTTCGAACACTTCAAACAAAGGGTTGTATCATTTTTGACAATATATGGTCAGTTTTTCATGACATAACTTGTTTTCATGTTGTTGTTTTTGCCATAATATGACTTCTCATGTCAAATCTGATAGTAAGTCTGGGTGTATTACGCTTTCTTCGTCCTTGCAGTTTCTCATTGTGTCATTTTAGGTATGCTGAGCAGATTTCTCATTTGAAATTCAGCAAATTTACGAGATCTCTCTTGTCTTTGTTCACAAATGTGTGAATAATCTATGCATTTGTGGTACACATGTCAATTATTTGAATGAACAAAATCCAGTACCCTTTTTTAACCTCTAATGGATGTGGAATATTTGGAAAACAACCAATTGTGTCTGTCCATACCACCAATGAATGTAGGGATTCTGTTAAACTAAGTTAGTGAAAACATTTTTGAAGAACAGTTACCCAACAGCCATTCTTGGTTTGAACCTAATATAGCAATTGTTGCAGCTAATTCTTTGAATCCAGATGAAGACTTCTGACTCTAAAACTGATAAGAGATTAACAAAAGTGTTTTATAGAGATAAAAGATGTAATGAGAAATAGGACTATGTTTTTCTTAGTTCATATGTGGTTTTAAAAAAAATGACTTTTTATGTTTTACATTTTAGAAATATGGAAAACTGACAACTTGTACTGGTTGCCGAACTCAGTGCAGGTTTTTTGATATGACTCAGTGTATAGGTCCTAATGGATATATGGAGCCATATTGTTCAACTGCTTGCATGAATAGTCACAAGACAAAATATGCAAAATCACAAAGTAAGTTTCAGGTATTTGAAAAGTTAAAGAAATTTAATTTTTTTTCCTCAAAAAGTAACTGCTGTATAATTTTGATTTTATACTTGTTTTTAAACTGCTATTTTGAACTTAAATTTATTATTATCATACCATTTACTGCAAACTTGTAATTATTTGATCATTCCAGTTTATTGAAGTACTCTTCATATCTGTCTTAGCTAAAATTGTTGTTACATCCAAAAATTATCTTAAACAAAAATTTTGATGTATATGTGTATGTTTGAGAGATAATACCAGTCTTTTTTATGACAGTATTTTAAAAAATAATCTTGAATATTTAAGGCACAAATATAAAAGAAATAGTTTATAGGAGATTCTATTTTTAAGATTTTAAATGTCATTTGTAAATTAAAAAAACTTTTATTACTTTATAAAGAAATCAGATATTATTACTTTATAAAGAAATCAGATATGTACCTTTTCTTTTCTAGGTTTGGGAATTATTTGCCATTTTTGTAAGCGAAACTCTTTACCTCAATACCAAGCCACAATGCCTGATGGAAAACTGTATAACTTTTGCAATTCCAGTTGTGTGGCTAAGTTTCAGGTTTGTTATTTATTTTGCATAACTCCCAACCCCAATTAAATACGTATAGAAAATAATCAGTGCAATATTCTTTTATCCTTGTTATCTGTTAATTTTTATATAGATTTTTTCAGGATCAAATGGGAGGGTGAATATTCTAGAATGAGTCATAGAAGACTTGGCTTTACCAGTTTCTTTCACCCACAAGAATGTGATTGACTTTTGAGTTGTTACAATAATAGAAATTTTAAAGGAAAATAAATTTTAATATAGTTGAACTCATTGCTCCATGTACAGTATTTTCCTCTTAGATGGTTTGAATAAAATGTGAATCTGAAGGGGAACTCTGTTCTGTGATGAGTGAAGTATGTAGTTTTATTTAGCTTGGAAATGTAATATAGGATCAATTTCAGGGAGCCATATTTTGTGTTGGTAAATATAATGTACTTTCTGACATAGTTCTTCAGAGATGGAATACGGATAATCTCAGGAGATAGTGTTGATTTAACCTGGTTGACCACTAGAAAGAAAGGCATAGTTTAGAGGGGATTCACGCATTAGTTAGGTAGTACTAGTAGGTTTACCTGTTGTATGTGAAAATTTCAGGGTATTGCCCAAAGATTCAAACCAGTGCATAAAGCCATGCTTCATGAGTTAATTCATCCAACATTCTACTTTATTCCAGGTACTGTGCTCTATGTTTATTAACCTGAAAATATAGTCACTTAAGTATGTTACAATAGTTACTGCAACAGTTATAAACTCATTAATTTTAGGTTGTTTTGAATTCAGCCAAGTGAATGTTTTTGTTAAGTTATATACTCACTAAATTAAGATGATACGTCACATTCAAGACTAAACTTTTATTTTAGAAGTTGAGATAATGGCCATTTGATAAGTTCTTTTAGTAATTTTTTTTTGCTTAGCTTTTCTTAACTAGAAATTAAGGAATAATGGTTAATTCAAGGAGAAAAGGACAGTGTGCATGCTGCTTGTCAGATGTTAAACTGTCTTTTTGATGTTGAGTAAACTGAACTGGTAATTGAAAATGTTTTAACTAATTTTTTTAATTGAAACTATATGATTTGATATAACCCTGTCTTTGTACTCTGTATATTTTAAAGAAATACTTAATTTAGGCTCTTAATTTTGAAGATTGCGTCCAGATAATTCTATATACAGCCTTATTGCTGTTGGCATATGAAGAATAAAAAGTTGTTAAACAGAAAGGCAACATTTTTTTTTTTTTAAATCTTGAAAGCAAACCATGTATTTGAACTTTGTGTCTTTATTAGGTGTTTTTCCTTTTGAAAGAGAACAGTTTAGTATTCTTTGGCTGCTATAACAAAATATAATATTTTATTATTTTAATACATATATATATAACATCACAAAATATACATAGGTCATAAACAACAGAAATTTATTTCTCACAGCTTTGGAGGCTGGGAATTCCAAGATAGTTTTGTGGTAGATTTTTGTCTTGTGAAGTCCCTTTTCTCAGTGGGGTGTCTTCTCATATGTCTTCATGTGGTTGAAGGCGTAAACAAGCTCCTTTATTAGATGATTTTTAAAGGCACTAAGAAAATCAATAGGATGGCCCAAAGACCTCTTAATTCTGTCACACTGAAAGTTAGGATTTCAATATCTGAGTTTGGGAGGATTGTAGACATTCAGACCATAGTGTACACCATTTGTTTTAAAAGAATAGTTAACCTTGAGAAGGTTCAATTCTTTTGGTACCTCTAAGGATAATGTTTTTTTTTTTTTTTATTTTACTTTTAGTATTCATCTTATGCTAATGTCTTAAATCTGCCATATTGTATTTTTTTCTACAGACTTTAATTGTGTTGTAGTGCATACAGATGTTTAAAAATGAAAAAGATCTTTCCCTCCACTGTACCTTCAGATTATATATAATATGTATGTGTAATATGTGATGTGGCTCAAAAGAATGTTAATTATATACCAGTTTAATTACCACTCAGATTAAGAATTAGAAAATAATGTTTAAAAACATGTATGCTTGTGTCCTATCTTAATCTGTAAGTTATTTTAACTGTAAGAAAAATAATAAGGGGCTGGGGTTGTAGCTTCAGTGGTAAAGTGTTTCCTAGCACACATGGAACACTGTATTCAATCCTCAGCACCACATTTCAGATAAATAAATAATAAATAAATAAGTGGATTGTGTCCCATCTACAACTAAAATTTTTTACTTTTAAGTAAAAAAGCTAAAATAAATAAATTCCTAGTGTGAACAGTAACATAGGCTGTGACATCACTGATGGACTTGAAATGAAAATTAAGGCAGTGATGCAGTGAGACAGATCATTAGTACATTAGGTATTTGGAGAAAACAAGACCTTTTTTTTTTTTTTTAATTTGATGGCTTTTTGGTTTCTTACTTTCTTTTTACTTTTATTTGCTAGTTCAGAACTTGAGCAATTAACCTCAATATTATTGTTTACATTTTCAAGTGAAGATAAACCATAATTGAATTGTATTTTCTTTTTTCCTGATTATATTTTAAAATTTTAGGTAAATAGTAATCCTTTGGCTATAAAAAGAATAAATTTCAATTGTATAAAACAGTGTGTTAGCATAATTTTTAAAAACAAAATTCAGAAATATAGTTTTGTGTGCTGCAGCAATATTTAACAGATATATATGACTTTCTATACACATTAGATTTTTCATAGTAATCATAAGTAGTAATTCTCCATACCAGGCTCAGTCTATTTTATTTTTTATTTTAGGCTCTAAGCATGCAGTCATCTCCAAATGGCCAATTTGTAGCACCAAGTGATATTCAGTTGAAATGCAACTACTGTAAAAATTCCTTTTGTTCAAAACCAGAAATCCTGGAATGGGAGGCAAGTCACATTTTATGTATATTATCTAGTGCTAAAATGAAAATTAAGTAAAATAACTAGTATTTTCCTAAGAAGACCTATTTCTTAGTAGGCATGTTTTTCAGATTTTGTGATGATTGGCTTATGTACTTATGTGGGAGTAGAATCAACCTAAGCTATTTCTTTATGGGTTAAGCAAAAATTTTTGAAGTCATATTTGCAATATATTATGCCCATAAGAGAGTACCGAATTCTCCTTTGTTTAGTTGTTTACCTAGAGCAACTTGTATGACAATTCTTTCTATTTTTCTCCTTGGTCTCATAAATATTAACTCAGAGCTATAATACATTCTGGTATTCAGTACCTATAAAAATAAGGATTTGTTAGTCATACCATATTGTCATTTAATGTTGTATGAATTGTTTCCATAAAAGAATAGAGGAGTATGGGTCTTAACATTAACTTTATTTTCCCTTCCTTATCACTGGTACCTTTATCCGTGTACTTAATTTAACTTTGCCTGTGTCCTTTTGCCATTAGCACCTCCGAGAATGATTTTTATTTCCATAAGGGGCAGTAGGAGATGGATAAATGGACAAAGCTGCTATGATTGCCCATTGGTTTCTTGAGCAAAGCTTACCTTTGGTCTTCCTTTCTTTTTATTCTTTTGAGGACAGTATGGGGTGGAAGGTGGTAATAAAACAGTGCAGAAGATTTAGAACTAACAACGGATTGCCTTGAGGAAAAATTTACTAGTAATTGTTGGCAGGTCATTCAGTATCTGAAGTCTTAGGTGAAAAGTGGTACCCAAAACTGAACTTTGTGATTTCTAAGGAAAATAGAAATCTGAAATTTCATCACTTCAGTGCCTAGAAATTTTTTTAGTTTATTATTTTGTTTGGTGCTTCTCCAGAGCATTTAAATCAGTTGGTTTTCTGAGACTGTTGTTGGCATCCAGTGATGATTTTTAGCATTAATACGCTCTTTAAGTAATAGCAGAAAAAGTGTTGAAGACCCAAGAAGAGAGAATAAAGGAATGAGGGAATGAGGAAAGCAATTAGTATGCACATAAAATATTGTCAGGTAGGACATGAAGATCTTAGATCGAATTTGTTAATACTAGGTGAAAATGAGGTCCTTCCCACCATGTACCTGTTAGTGCTCCCCAACTCTTGGAATCTTGGTGTGTTGCTTTTATTTACATGGATGCAAGTGTTAAGAGCAGGCTGAAGGAGAGCTTGTCTTGTCCTTCAGGATGTTGAGAGTTCAGTGCCCCTTGCTGCTACTTATTCCATGCTGGCAGTTGTGGTTTCTTTGTTGCCTTTTTCCTCTTATGAGTTACATATTTATAATGGGGCAACTTGTTTTTGGTGGGAGGTGGGGTGCAACTTTCCATGGATGATTATCTTGACTATTTTGAGTTTATACCTAGGCTCTTTCACCTTGCTTATTTTGATCTTCAGATTTCTTAGGTAGATGTTTTAGATGTAACCTGTATCCTCCACTAATAATGGGAGAGAAAAAAACCTGCCTCTGGGAAGCTTTCAGTTGTTTATAACTTATCTGACTGGGTATTTGAAAAGTAGCTTTGGCTGTTTTGGGTTTGGGGCCAGGATGAATAATAATTAATAAACCGTATTCTAATCAAGGAAAAACCAACTCAGTCTCAAGTTTCACAGCATACAATGGGATAGCACCAAATTGAATACTTTGGCTGTGATAGATCTGTTACAGGAATGTATCATGGTGTGACAGAAAGGTGATTGAATCTACTCAAAAAACAAATCTCTTTTTGACTGAAAATGTTATCAGTACCATAATTCTCATCTTTCTGTAACTTACTCATGTTCTATTGTTTCCTTCCTGTTTATCAAAATCTGTTAGAAATATCAGATTGCCATCTTATTATAGTGATACTTTCACTGTTTCAGTGTGATTAATGTTGTTGAATTTTGTAGAGCTGTTTTATATTTAGCAGTGAATTGGTTAAACTAGGTGTCTGTGGCCTATAGGAAATGTATACCCAAGGATACTATATTAAAATAGGTAAATTATTTAACTTTGTTTCTATAAAAGTAGCTTGTGTATTTCTGAAATTTGTTATTGAGGTGGTTGTCATATACTCACCAAGGTTCCCATTGTGCATTTAGAACAAAGTGCATCAGTTCTGCAGCAAAACTTGTTCAGATGACTATAAGAAGTTGCATTGCATAGTTACATATTGCGAATACTGTCAAGAGGAGAAGACTCTTCATGAAACAGTAAATTTCTCTGGCGTTAAGAGACCTTTCTGTAGTGAAGGCAAGTGTATATACAGTGTTGTTCATAACTTTATTGATATTTAATGTTTTTTTTGCCAAAGTATTTTTAAAAATATGAGTACCTATGTCCAGCTGCACAATTTTTAATATAGCTGAACAAAAAAAATTGAATTTACTTTTTTACTTATTTTGTTATATTCTATATGTATTTTAGACCTCTGGGCCTCAAGGTTTTCTCTCTAAAATGTTGGTAACCACTTTTTCATTACAAGGAAGTTTTGAGAATCAAATATAAGCATTATGATACCATGCCATCTCTGAATCTATACATTGTGGCCTGAAAGTTTGTTTTCTAAGTGAATTAGAACAGTTGTTCATTAACTTCATGTGCCTACCTGGCTTTTTTTTTTTTTTTTTAATTGCCTAGCCTTCAAAGGTTTTCAATATATAGGTTGAACATCCCTAATCTGAAAATCTGAAATTCAAAACTTTTTAAGTGTCAACATGATGCTCCTAAAATTTTGGATTTTGGAATAGTTCAGATTTTGGATTTTTGTATTAGAGAAGCTCAGTAAAATCTGAGAATAGTAAAACAAACAAACTCTTAAAACCCGAAACACAAATCTGAGAATAGTAAAACAAACAAACTCTAAAACCTGAAACCCAATTGGTCCTTATGTATTTCAGATAAGGAACACTTAATCTGAGAGAAAAAAATCCACATTTTTACAGGAACAGCATTACAGAGGGAAAATTTTAAGTTTTTAATTTGGGTTGCCTGGGAGATATTCTGGGTTCTGTTATAGGCATATTCAAGAATTTCCTTTCTTCTCTTCTTTACTTTTTGCTGCTCTGGTGCCAGGCAGCAGATTATAGAAATGAACTCTAAACCTGCATTTCCAGAAATATGAACCAGGATTGTAGCTGTGGGTTTTTTGTGCTCTTGTCATATATTTTTCAAATGTCACATTCTTATTCTAAGCTGGCTTTCACTTTTTATTCTGTCTTTGGCTCAAGTCACTGAGCTTTTAGCTTTCCTATCTTCTATCTTCACCTATTGTTTTCCAGTGATGATTTTTTTTTTTCTAGATCTACTTATTCTATTACTAGTTTGGGGCAAGAGAAAGGTTGGAAAATTCTTGATGCTAGCAGTAGGGAATCAAAAGTCAGTAAGATTTATGAGGCCATTCAACTAGTGGCACCAATTATATATACTTTTCACATCTAAATATTTTATGTTTGTAAGAAGGTACTATATATAAAATAAGGCATTCTATTTAGGTTTAATTGGTACATTTCAACTAGAATTAAAGGCAACCATGTTTTAGTACTCTTTAAGAATAAAGGTATAATGAATAACAATAAATCCTAAAATATTAAGAATAATTCTAAATTTTTCTTTTTACACCTAAGTTTTGTACAATAACAGTCTTCCTGGTTCACAGGTCTGAACACGTTAATGCTAATTGTTCACATACGTCAATGAACTTATATTCCATATGTATTTTACTAAAATTATTAGAGAATAGCAGACTGATGATTGACATGTAAAAGCATAATTTTCTATTGGAAGGACTTAAGATTTTAGATGGGTAATAAGAAGTTAAAAAGGATGTGTTTTTTTTCCCCTGTGAAATGCCATTTTTTGCTTTCTCTTACTCCACCTAGTTTTCTGCTAAAACCTCAGAAGTAACATACCTAGTATTACCATCAAAATCTAAGTAGATAAAGTAAATAAAGGTAAATTTTTAAAAGTACTTTGAAGTAATTCAAAAATAACAGAAAAGTCTTAATACATTAATGATTGAAAATTTATTACATAAAAAATTACAATTCATGCCAGGTGTGGTGACTCACACCTGCAATCCCAGCAGTTTGGGAGGCTGAGGCAGGAGGATGGTGAAGCCAGCTTCAGAAACTTGGCAAGCTTCTGAGGAATTTAGTGAGACCCTATCCAAAAAAGCGGGTGTCGGGGGTTGGGAGGGTGGGGGGTGGATGAGGCTCAGTTGTTAAATGCCTCTGGGTTCAATCCCCAGTACCTAAAATAAAAAACAAGAGACAAAAAACCAAATTCAAACAAGAAAACCCAAAGACAAAAAATAAAAAAAAATTGCGATTCATGTTCACAAGTAGGAAAGATAATTTAAAACTAAGTTGAGAACAATTTGTTATGGAGGTGTCCTTTGTGCTTGTTGTTATAGGATGGTAGGATTTCATTAGATACATAAATGAATAAAAAGTCATTCTACTTACGTAGCACAGTCATGAGTACAAGTATGGAAGATCATTTAATCCTCAGATATTATAGGGCAATTATTAAGATTTGTGAAAATTCTTTTATTTTTGTTTTTGTTTTTTTTTGTGAAAATTCTTAATACTTTTATACATTAAGTAAAAGAAGTTATTTCATTAAGAGAATAGATAATAGGATTTTCTCTGGACAAGTCAGTAAACTATTTGTACTTCTTGGAAGGATTGATGTAGGGTAACAGGTAAGCTAGAAAATTTGACTAAAATGCTTACCTAGGTAGTTGAACATGTCTGTAAATTTACTTGGAGCCTGTTAGCACTCCGCATTATTCATTTCTCTAAAATGCTTGTTTGTGTTTTGCTTTCTCTGATACTTAGATTCTATTTAATGGAGCAAATAAAAATAGTTCCGGGCTGGGGTTGTGGCTCAGTGATAGAGCACTTGCTTCGAATGTGTAAGGCACTGGTTCAATTCTCAGCACCACATAAAAATAAATGAATAAAATAAAGATCCATGAACAACTAAAAAAATTTAAAAAAATAGTTCTCAGATATTACTAGATTTTAATATCTTAAAGTATTGTTTGAACCAACACATTAAATGTTTTTGAATAATAGAATATTATAATAATAGAAAATTCTATATTCTATTCCAGTTTTTACAGGTTGGTGTTGATAGATTTTAGAGTTTTGATTGGGAGAGAAAGGACTTATGTGAATTTATTAGACACTTCCTAAAACTAATGATCTACTTTTCATGTGTTTTTTGTTTTAATATTTAAAACTTATATTTTTCAGGCTGCAAACTATTATACAAACAGGATTTTGCAAGGCGTTTAGGATTAAGGTGTGTTACCTGCAACTATTGTTCTCAGCTGTGTAAGAAGGGAGCAACTAAAGAACTTGATGGTGTTGTGAGAGATTTCTGCAGTGAAGACTGCTGTAAAAAATTTCAGGATTGGTACTATAAGGCAAGTAAATTTAGATTTTTATTACTTTGGCAATAAATTCAGATTTTGCCCAGTTTTTTAACAAACTACAAATATTGTAGTTATAAATATAGTAATATTTATTTTTAAAATCTACAAATTTTAGGCCCAGTCCTGGATACTTTTCATTAAAATTATTTTGCATTTCAGCCGGGTGTGGTGGTGCACGCCTGTAATCCAGCATTTTAGGAGGCTGAGGCAGGAGGATTGTAAATTCAAACGCAGCTTCAGTAATTTATCGAGGCCCTAAGCAACTCCGTGAGATCCTGTCTCATATCTGGGGGATATGGCTCAGAGGTTAAGCACCTCTGGGTTCAATACCTAGTACTCTTCCCTGCCAAACAAAACAAAACATTATTTTGCATTTCAGTTCTTTATAACTTGCTATAGCATTAAAAATAAATAAAACACACACACACACTTTAGTTAGAGATGGACACTGTGACTTTATTTTTATGTAGTCTTCAGGATCGAACCCAGTGCCTCATCCATGCTAAGCAAGTGCCCTAACACTGAGCCACAACCCAAATTTGATATATATGACAGAATGCATTACAGTTCATATTACACATATAGAGCACATTTTTTCATATCTGGGTGTATACAAAATATATTCACACCATTCGTGTCTTCATACTTGTAGTTAGGCTAATGATGTCTATCTCATTCCATCATCTTTCCTACCCCTTTGCCCCCTCCCTTTCCTTCCCACCCCTTTGCACTATCTAGAGTTTCTCTAATCCTCCCATGCTCCTTCTCCCAACTCCACTATGAATCAGCCTCCTGATATCAGAAAAAACATTCGGCATTTGGTTTTTGAGGATTGGCTAACTTCATTTAGCATCATATTCCCCAACTCTTGTGTGTGTGTTATGAAAATCAACTTTTTTCTTTGGTATTAAAAATTATTTACTGTAATTTGTATGAAAATCTACTTTTAAAAAGTCATACTTTAAGTCCCCTTTGGCCCACTATATTAGTTTTTTCTTGTTTTTTGTTTGTGTGTATGTGTGTATATAAGAAAATGAATATAAATTTGGACTTGGGTGGTTAGATATTAACCAAGAAACAATTATTAATTTTCCTGTGTTGATAACATGGAAAGCCATATCAATGCTAAAGCTCCATGTGCAGCTGCATGTGATGATAGATACCATGACTTCAAAATTGTGATAGATATCTCTACAGAAACAAACAATAAAATTGCTATTTAGTTCACATTATGAAAGTTGATTAGTGTTAAAACAATTGAATATCTAAAACCAAATTAACTGATATTTTATGAATAAAAAGGAAGATAACTTGTCAGAGATAAAATGATTGAGAATTTTGGTGTATTTTTTTTAAAAAATTACTTCATTATTTTACTCCTGCTTCTGAATGAATGAATTCTTAAAGTTCAGGTTCAAATTTTAGAAATACAGAGAGAACAAAGTCACAAACATTGTGTCACTTTCATTTGTGTAAGTGTCTAAACCAGTGGTTTGTTCTTATTGTAGGTAGTATTTGTGCAATAAAATGTTTCTTTGAGGGTCTTAAACTTAGTTTTGTGTACACAAATGTACCTTTCTCTCCAATATTTAGTACGTTGTATATATGTATTTATTTAGCAGCACAGGGGGTTGTATTTATTTATTTTATAGCTAGGTGCCTCACATATACTAAACAAGTCCTTTACCATTGACCCTACATCCCTAACCCTCCTGACTAGGAATTTTAATAAAATATTTATTTATAGAACTTCATCTGAAACAAAGTCAGAGATTTCAACACCCACAGCATAAATCTCTAGATTATTTAAAGCAATCATGAAAAGCCACAGCCACAATTATTAGGAATTACAGAATATTTAATATTTGTTGCTCTATCAATTTCTTAGTTATTAGTTAAACTGGAGATCGGTTTTAAAATTTATAGTAGTTTATTTCTAGATCAGAAACAATTATGAAAAGAACCATATTTGAAATTAATTACTTTTGTCTTTTGGTCCATTTATTGACGAAGATGTTTGTTAAGTATGAACATGGACAAAATCTAGAGAGAAATTTATAAAATAAAAGTAAAAATATCTGTCCCTAGATTTTTGGACTTGGCATTATAAAGTGTAATTGTGTATGAATTTCAGTGTCCCCCTCCCCCGCCTTTTATGTTAAACTGTGAACCATGTGGGGCTGATTGCTAGATGTAGATCAGGCTGTGTGTTTAAAGATAACTATTTAGTTGCTTTTTTTTTAAATAAAGATCTTGTTATTAATATTAAATCAGTATGTTAACTTTTTACATTTTCATTAAACTTAAAAAACTAAAATACTTAAAGTTAATATTTCTAATTTTCCCATTAGAAGAGCTTACTCTGGTCTTGTACAAATAAGCTAGGAAATCTGTTAACTAATTAGAAAATTTCAAATTAATATAATTATAGGAGTATTTACTAATCTATTATTAAGGCCCTCTAAATTATTTAAAAATAATGAAATGGATTGTATTAATTTGGTATGTTAGTTATCCATCTTTGTAATCCTAGTCTTATGGTATATGTAGGGACTTTACTATCAGTTAGAGAATGACTCCAATTTTTTCCTTTTTTTTTTGGTGTGTGTGTGTGTGAGAGAGAGAGAGAGAGAGAGAGAGAATTTTATTGTTGGTATGACTTGATATTTTTTCTTTATCAGATATTATTTTGTCATATTTGACAATAATCGTTGATAAATTTATATGTGTGGTGTTTTAAATATTCTGATTCGAAACATCTGAAGTAATTTCTTTTTAATTTAAGGCTGCAAGGTGTGACTGTTGTAAATCTCAAGGAACTCTTAAAGAGCGAGTGCAGTGGCGTGGGGAAATGAAACACTTTTGTGATCAACACTGCTTGTTACGTTTTTATTGTCAACAAAATGAGCCCAACATGACAACTCAGAAAGGACCTGAAAACTTACATTATGGTATGTAGTAATTTAGGTGGGAACTTTAAAATCCTGTGTATCAGTTTATTTTCTTAGTGTTGAATGAATCTAAGGCACTGATAATGAATAGTTGATTTTGGAGATGGCTTAATAGCAACTTAAATTCCATGGTTTCTCTAGAAGGAGGAACCCCATGTGATATTTTAATAGATACAGTTTATTTCTTGCTAGTTGAAAAAAAAAAAAATAGGGCCTAGTTGGACCAGAGAGAAGTTGAATAAAATTATAACAAAAATTTAAAAAAATCACCTATCAACCATGTGGCATTTTGTAATTTTAAATGAAAACAGGTTTATCATATTATGTGCCTGGGGTAGGCTGAATGGAACAAAATCCCTCTAGAAGCTATTTTTATTTTATTTAAGAACTACATCTACAAACAGGATTTTCCCCAAAGCAGTTATATTCAGAGGTGGAAAAATGAGAAAAGAGTTAACTACCTAGTAAATCTGTATTTCTATACTTTCTACTTAAATTTTAAATTCTTAAACTAATTTTAAATATTTTCTTCAGTAACATCTTCAATTCTAAAGTGATATTTGTCTTTTTAAAGTTTTTTTGTGTGTTTGTTTATTTTTTAGATCAGGGCTGTCAGACATCCAGAACCAAAATGACCGTAAGTATTGTTTAAATAGAGTGTTCAGTTTGTGATATTATAATGTTAGGGAAAAATAATTAGGGCAATGTAATGTGATTATAATAATAAGCTATTCTTATTTCCTTTGTTGAGACATTGGAAGTATTCAGCTGATACCAGAGACTTTCATACATACTAGGAAACAGAAGTGGAATTAATTTCAGCCTCTTGCCATATGAGGAAGATAGACATATCAATGGCATTTGAGTTGAAGTTCTTATAATATATGCTTGAGATGATGGTTCCCAAAGAATGAATAAGCTGACTGCAAACAGATGGATAGGAGATTCTCAGGTAGAAAGTATGAAAAGTAGGAGGAATAGTAATGTGCACAGCACACATGTATTTGACAGAACTATACATTGGGATCAACCTTGGAAGGGGATGTTTGATTGAATGATGGAAAGTGAGACTGAAAGGATAGACTGAACCAGATAATGAATTTTTAAAGTAGAGATCTGATGATCTATGTTGGTGTGAGGATCTGTGAGTTTTAAAATTTGAGAAATATACCATGTGTCTTTTTATTCCTCCTCCCCACTTTATCTTGTATTTAGTCTTTTTTTTTTCCTTCTCCCTTTTTGGTATTGCATCAAATTCTGCTCTGGTATTACCATGAGTTTTGTAATTGAAAGTGGCCTTTTGTATGTATTGACTGCTAAAGAGCAAAAGTAATGCTTTTGCCACACTTTGAAGAACAGAGGCACTGTCTCTTTATGCTTTGTTTACTGGAATTTCTAGCATCTTTATTCAAAGGGAAGCCCTTCAGGAGTCATCACTAATTGCCATCACAATTAGTCTCTGGGCTAGTGCTTGTTGTGGTAAAAAAGACTAGATGAGTGAGTGGTTTTAGTTTTTAGTTCCTGGCTATAGTAAGAATCACCTCGTAAGGTTTCAAGGACTTCTAATATCTTGTTTCCAACCCAGAAATTCTTATTTTAGAAAAGTTGTTCAGGTGATTCAATATGTAAGCAGAGATTGAGAATCACCATACACAATGGACCTTCTATATCCTTGGGTTCCCTATTTGCAGATTCAATCAAACTAGGATTGAAAATAATGGAGAATTCCAGAAAGTTTCAAGGAACAAAATTGCCATATGCCAGACATTCTGCTGAATTCACATGAGTGAAATGATGTTGTAGGCACACCGTGCTATAGCCTCCTGTCATTTCCTAGATACTTTGTCTCTCTCTAGTACTCCAGTGTTGTTTGCCTGTTGTCTTGCACTGTATATTTAGGCATATGCTGGTTGTGTCTGTGTTGAACATACACAAACATTTTTTTCCCTTCCCTTATTCCCCAAACAAAATAGTATAACAATTATTTATATAGCATTTACACTGTATTTGATATTATAAGTCATCTTGATGATTTAAAGTACGTGGGAGGGTGTGTTAGGTTTTAGATAAATACAGCAGTTTATATTTATATAAGGGATTTGAAATCAGCCCCCTCCACCATACTAAAGGATGACTATAGATGAAAGATCAGTGTTTTTACATTCATTCTGTTCAGTGTTTGTTTTGATATTAATAACTGGATGTAGTCCTAGAAAAGCAAGGGTGCTTTTTTTTCCTTTGCTTTCCCCTTTCTACTCCTTGTGGAAATAACATTTTTAAGTCAGAGAATCAGAAGAACTTAAAGTATTCAGTTGAATTATCTGGTGTTAACACCAGGTATTTTCACCCTTGATAAAGAATATAAAAATTATTTTTTCTCTCCCCCACCTCCTTTTTTAAATGGTCCTGCTGGTTGAACCCAAGGCCTTGCATATGCTAGGCAAGTACTCTACTACTGAGCTACATTCCTAGCCCTTTTTGTTTTGAGGCAGTTTCACTGAGTTGCCAAGGCTGGCCTTGAACTTGTGATCCTCCTGCTTTAGCCTACCTCATTTGCTAGGATTACCTTGCTCAGCTTTTATTTTTTTATCTTTATGCAGTCAGCCAATTAGGCACTTCTTTAACCGTGTTTCAGAGGTGCAAGGTTTTGACCAAGGTTCCAAGAAATGATTTCTTCCAGCACAATGTTAAACATCATTCTCTGCCCACAGCATTTAAATTGCATTATATGATAGAGATGGGGGGGGGTGCATTTTTGAAGAGGAAGGAAAGTCAGGGTGCCATTGTGACTATTGCATTTGTATTAGTAAGTGCCCTTCCATTTTTCCTTTGTAAACCTTTGGAATATGCACCCATATGCCTCAAAGTGTAGCTAGATAATTTTGCGGCCAGTTATTTTACTGTTGTTGTATGTTTCCTTATTTGTAAGATCAAGATGAAAATTGTACCCATGTCAGGTTTGTCACATACTAATACTGAACATTGTGGCTGTTTTGTTATAGACCTCATAGTAGTAGTATGTATGGTGGTTAATAACATCGGCTTTCACATCAGATGAATCTATCCAAATTCTAATTTCAGAACTTTTTAACTTTGTGACCCTTGACAGATTATGTAACCCCTAACCCCCTGTTTCCTCATCTTTAAAATGGTAGTGATAGAGACCTGCCTCTTGCAGTGTTTAAAATGATGAAATAAGATTTTGCTGTTTTACATAGTTCCTGACACATAACAGGTACTCAACAGATGGTAGATTTTGTCATTATAATTTTCATTAGTTTGGATCCTTCCATATTCAACATAAGTAGCTATAGATCCCACTTGTTGACAAGCAGTAAAGCAAAATATATTCTAAAACAGAGAGGTTGGAGTCTATGTTTTTTCATCAGGTAGCATAGTTCATTGATATGAAGTAATATTTGCAGAATGGTAAGGGTGGAACATTAAGCAGTTCTAGGACATTTGTGATTTGGGACTTCCCTGTTATTTCAGTTAGAAAAAGTTTATCCAGTGCCTGGTATATAGTAAATACTTTTGGTAAGTTTTTCCTCTCAAGTATAAAATCAAAGAGCTCAAGGCACAGGAGGTTGACTTGCCCCAGGTCTCCACAGCAGTAGTGTTAGCACCAAGTTCACTAGCTCCTTGTGCAGAACTCTCTTAGACCTGATTAGTACATTTGATAAATCTGGCATAAGCTCATCTTTGTGCCAGCCTCCTTGGTCATATATATTATTTGTAACTAATTTGTAACTAATGGGCTACCTGCTATATAAACGGTTCACATCCTTCCATACCTTAAAAAAAAAAAAACACCAAAACCCTCACAGTGGGGCATGATGGTATATGCCTGTAATTCCAGTGACTCAGGAGGATCACGAGTTTGAGGCCAAACTCAACAACTTAGCAAGACCCTAAGCAAGCAGCTTAAGTGAGACTCTGTCTCAAAAAAATAAAAAGGGCTCAGTGGTTAAGCACCCTTGGGTTCAGTCCGCAGTAACAAAGACCTTCATAGGAGAGCTGGAAGAAGTCACAGATAAAAAATTTTAAATATGATCAATCTTCATTATTTGTACTTCTGTATTTGTGAATTTCTCTATTTTGCAGAATTTTCTTGTAATCCTAAATTAATATGTAGTGTCCTTTGAGAATCCTTTGCAGAAAAATTTTTAAGTCACCTGATACATGTATTCCAGTTGAGATAGATCAAGACAATGCTGTGCCTTCCCATTTCAGCTCTCATGTTGTGCACAAATGTCCTTTTTACAATTTAATTAGTGCTTTATTTTTGTTGGTGCTTTTTGTTTGTAATTTTGATATTTCCCAGGGCCCACAAGTATGATGTGGAAGTGCTATCAAGTATCCCTGAATACAAGAAAGCTGTAATGTCCGTTATGGAGAAAATATGTGTATTAGATAATAAGTCTCATTCAGGCATAAGTTAGAATGCAATTGATATGAATTCAGTATTAATGAATCAACAGTACAACCAGAGAAAGGAAGAACAAATTTGCCAATCACTCCAAAAGCTGAAGCAACACCTACTGCAACAAAATTTGTGGATATATGCGATAATGACCCATTACAAAAAGCATAGCATATAACATTGTTGCAACTTCGTGAGCTTTTCAGTTTGAAACATGTTAAGAATTGAATTTGAAGATGAGGTGTGTTCTGCAGATCAGTACACTACATCTACTATCTAAATGTTATACAGTATAAGGGTTATGTGGGAGAACTAGTTTTCAATACTAATGAGACTGGCTTGTTTTTTTACAAGGTTGTTGGCAAACAAACCTGAAAATAGTCTTCAAAACCCTTGGCTTTAAATAATTCAGTTTTGTACAATTTTGCCATTGTGCACCAATGCCAAGAACAACTTTTAAGTACAAACCCCCAATGACATACAGAGGTTAAAAACACTTCAAGAGGAAAATCTGAGTTGTATGTCCTACCATAGAAGGTAGGGTGAAAAGGCATGGATGGTGTCTGAAGTATTTTGGGATTTGTTCCACAACTGCTTCACTGTAGAAATTGAACACTGTCTTATGGTGAAAACTTTGCATTCAAAATTTTATTCTTGGATAATGCCTTAGTCCATATTAAAGTGTCTTTAAGCAAGGTTAAGTATTGAATAGTTGATGAAAATATGCTTTGGTAACCTTGCATTCCTCTTTGTAGCAGCAGTTTAATATTCACCAATTCAGCATTCAGGGCAACTATATAGAACATAAGTACCCTGAATAATTAGGATTGGCTGCATTAGTATTCTGTACTTACTTTCCCTCCTTAATATAGGTGGTATGAAGAATACTTTACCATTAGTCCCTATGGGTAGATCTTTAGATGTAGTTTCTAACGTTGCAGTTCTTGGGAAGTATACAACTTAAAATTTGACAATTCCTGTGGTAATTCTTTGCATTGTTTTTCTTACATTTCAAATTTAGTATCATATTAAGCTTTTGTGTAATTAGAAGGAGCTAGAATATCAGCCATTATAACTGTAAGAACGTTTATTAACATATATTGAAGAGTCTAATTATTTTCACAATATAGGTTTACAGCTATGATTTTGCACCTCAAATAGTGTTGTCTTCTCATATTTTCCTAAAAGCTTGCTGATGATATCATTTGAAAGTGAGACCTACAGAATTAATAATTCCTACAACTTTATCAGTTGTTAGGATAGATTCGCATTTATCTTCCCAGATTAAAACTTGTGAACTTAGTATGAATAGTATAATTTCATTATCCCCTTTGACTTTTGTGTGTTCCATCTTTGGATGTAGAAATCAGATATTCGTTAACTCAGGAGTAATGAAAAATAGAGGAAAAAGTGAAATGTTTCTCTCTGCTTCTATTTAGGGTTCAGCACCACCCCCTTCTCCAACACCAAACAAAGAGATGAAGAACAAAGCAGTTCTTTGTAAACCTTTAACAATGACAAAAGCTACTTACTGTAAGCCTCACATGCAGACCAAATCTTGTCAGACAGGTAACTTAAATTTTGACCTATATGCTTCCTTATACTTCAAAACTCACTTGAATGATATGTCCCCCTGCCCGAAATGATAGGCTACAGAGAAAATCTTGGGTCATTTCATTGTTTTATTTTGATTTTTGCTTACTTAATTTTGAATATTACTTTGAATGTAGCATCATTTAAAATAATTTATGACTAACCAATCTGATACAATGTCAAAAGTGAAAAAATACCACAACGAATTTTCTTGGACTGCTAAAATTGTGTTGTTACTTCTGAGAAGTTATCTCTTTATGGTCTATAATGATAACTTTCTTTCCTGTCAGAAAGAAATGAAATAATCAAAAAATAAATTTTTTTCATCAAATTTACTATGTAGTCTATATTTTAATTGTTTAATTGGTGGGGACAGCAGGGACAGGCTAGTAGAGTGCCTGGATTTATATTGCTTTTAAAGTTTTTTTTTTTTCTTTCTTTAACCAAATATGAAACAAAATAGTTTCTATTTTTTCTAAGCTAAAAATGGTTTCTGTTTTCTGTTTTGTTGTTTTTAAGCAATCTTATAAAAACTACGAATTTCTTTTAAATGGATGATAGTTAAATTTTTCTTTGTCTAATTAGTTTAACATTGAGCAGCTGTGATTAAGTGCCAGTTAATATTGTTTTTTACATATGTGCATTGTTTTTAGATGATAATTGGAAGACAGAATACGTTCCAGTGCCTATTCCCGTGCCTGTGTATATCCCAGTACCTATGCACATGTACAGCCAGAATATTCCTGTTCCTACTACAGTTCCTGTTCCTGTAAGTCAGATTTTAAGCTCTTTTTTTTTTTTTTTTTGAGATTTTATCAGGCATGGATGGGAAAGTAATGTAGTTGGAATTATTAGTTTAATGAAGCTGTTAAACTATGTTTACCTTTCTTCAACAATTAGATTTGGTTGAATCTTTGTGGTGATCATACTTTTTGTTTAATCTATGTATACTCATCCGTGAGAGAGATGTTTATGTTTAGCAAATGTCTCTGTCTGCTCTGTGCATTTATGTTTTATATTTGGGTTCATTTTCAAAAGGAATATTTGTGAAGCCATAAAGTTTAAAACTGGAACATCAGTTTCATATAAAATAATATTATATTTCACCTCACATTACTTTTAATACTTAAAACACTGGTCAGTCGAGTTTGGCTGTCCCCTGAGAGACAGAAATATCTAAAAAATTATTTTCTCCAAAATTCTATTTCAAATTCTGTTACAGTAACATCTTAGTTTTGACATGTGTTCTTTGCAAAGCTTTTATTCAGTATGACATTGTAAAATGGATGATATAGCAAAGTGAATGTGGGGGCAGGGGAGATCCTTTTAATGTTTCGTAATGTTAACATTAAATGCTTTGGTTAATAGGTGCCCGTTCCTGTTTTTCTGCCTGCTCCATTGGATAGCACTGATAAAATTCCAGCTGCAGTTGAGGAGCTAAAAAGCAAAGTTTCTTCAGATCCTCTTGATACAGAGTTGCTTACAATGACAGATATGATGAATGAAGATGAGGAGAAAACAGAGGCATCCAACATCAATAGTGAGCTACAATATGTCAATATGTGATTCATGGGTTTTGGTGTCTTACTGTACTTCAACTTGATATGGGAGTAAAGAAAAAATAACAAAGTTTTTTATATTAAGAGATCCATTCTACATCTAGCACCATCCATCTACATTTAGTACCCTCTTCTGCCAAGTCCAATCTCCAATGCAGGAATTTTTATCCTCTTGGGGATTTTTGGGGTGGTGGGTCGGTGGGTGGAGAGGTGGGTACTGGGAATTGAACTTGGGGCACTCAACTACTGAGCCACATCCCCAGCCCTATTTTGTATTTTATTTAGAGACAGGGTCTCACTGAGTTGCTTAGTACCTCGCTATTGCTGAAGCTGGCTTTGAACTTGCGATCCTCCTGCCGCAGCCTCCCAAGCCACTGGGATTACAGAAATGCACCACTGTGACCGGCTTGAAGTCAAATTTTTCAAGTCAAGAATTCTTCCACAAATTGGGCCATGTTATAACGTGTAGT